GGAAGGTGGGCTCCATCGCCGTCCTCTTGGAAGAACCGCCGCCGCCGCCGCCGCCGCTCAGGAAGCCGCTGCCGAGTTTCATATTCCGCTCGCGGGTAGGAAGGGGGAGCCGCAAAGCCGGGGAAGAGAAACAGGAGGAGGCGCGGCCCGCAGGGGCTGCTTCTGCTGCCCGGACCCCGAAGCTGCGCCGCTCGCTCGCTCGCTCGCTTTTGACTCACTCACTCACCCGCCGGCTGCCTGGCCGGCCCGCTCTCTTTCGCGCTCCGTGCTTTTAACACTCGTTAGCCCGCCAGTCACGGCCGCCGACAGCCGGGCGCATCCTTCGTCGCCGCTCGGCCCCACCCGGCCCAACCTCGTCCCGCCGCCTCCGCCGCTGCTTCCTCCTGACGGCCGCCGCCTCCAGTTAAAAATATCGCCACAATGGAATTAGCAGAGCCCCCTGGAAGGCCCGTACTGCACATGCGTCACGCGCGGCATGCCGGGAAGGATTGCCCAGTCAGGAGGGCACTAATGTTGGGGAGGTAGAAAGGCGCAGGCGCGGGTTGACCCCCTGCATCTCTTCCCCCCCCATGCGCCCCCCTCCCCTTGGTTCGTTTCACTCTAGGGCATTACCTCACTGTCACCGCGACTGGCCCAGTGTCGGTCGTTCTTGCCAGGGCGCTTGCTCCAGAAAAGAGACACCGGTGGCCGCGTTAGGGGTCATTTGGCCTCATGTGAATAAACGGGACTTCTCTTTCTCTCTTTTCCTAGCGGGATATAAATGAACCTAGTTTCACACGTATGTAGTTAACACGCGTGTCAGCATAGTATCTATGTGTCTGGAGGTGGGGACAGCAATCTTATCCAGCTCACAGTTGTCTCAGGCGTTACAAATGTTCTTTTTGGATTATGAATAACTCTGTGCACGTTACTCGAGCGTCAATGTCCCTGAATGCAAACGGGCTTCCTCTACGAAAGCATGCGTGAAAATACGCTATCACTTGTATTTCCTGCAGCTAATCATTGCAGTCTTATTATTACATGAGCAATACTTTCTTTTTGTTTTGTTTTTTGGCCAAAGAAAGGTTTAAACGTTGAAACGGGTATAGGTTCAAATTAGATGCGGGAAATAACTTCCTGACTGTAAAACCAATACTGTGCAACAGATCGCAGTGACAACAGAAGTTTTGAAAATCCTTCTCTCCATAGCATTTTTCAGTGATTGTCGAGGTATCCAATTCAAATGCCAGGCATTCTGTAATTGTAGAATTAAACTTAAGGAATCTAGTTCCTGCCACACTTCCTGCGTCACGTTCCTTCCCTGTTTACTAAAAGAGAGATAGAGATATGGTATCTGACAATCAGTCCCATTCTAACTGCCCATAAATCATGCCTGAGAGGCAATTTTATATAGTAGGTCACATCCACTTTGAAACTGTAAAGTCTTTGGGGAAAAGGGCCAGGTGTAAAATGTACTAATAGTAAACACTTATCCTATATTCTGCATTTCTACCTACTATGCAGCTTTAAAACAATATTAGGCTAATTACTATTCCAGAAAAGGGGAGTCACCTTCAACAAAGCTTCAGGATATATTTCTTTGTTCTGCCAACTGCCTGAGAAAAGCTAAGGTGTGTGCAAACAATTGTAAGATCCTTCACAAATTAAAAGACAACCTCTATAAAATTAAGTAAAGCAACATCAAAAAGCTATAGTTAGCATGAAATAAGTTTGTAATGAAATATACCAAATCCCAGTACAAGTAAGCAGAAACATGTTTCAACAGTTATTAAAAACGTTGGTGCAAGTGTAGATGGAGAAATGTCTAAAGAATAAAAAGCTCATCACACCACAAAATAACTACTTTATATATGTCCTAATACAAGTCAGTGGGAAAGCAGTATTTCTCATTATTGTACTGATGTTCAATAGACAACCTTTGCTGTTACTTATCCCAATCAATATACTCTGCTCTAATTATTTGATCAGCTAAACATAGCTTACCTGTTTTTGCTTTTCCAACCTCAAATTTTATAAAGAGTTATATAGAGATCATATATAAAAATAATATGTGAAAAAGGATGCAGAGCTGCAGTGTATTTTATCTACATTGATTACATCAAATCATTCCAAACTCTATTTCTATTTTGTTCAGATAATATTCCAGTGTTCTATTTGGCATAGAAATGTATATTATAAACTTAGGGATAATATATATGCCTTCCAATATATTGCAGGTCCTTACTTAAATTTTCAGTGATCCTCTCCTTACGTTGACTTAAAAGTGGAGGGAATGTTCTGTACAATTAGTTAATACAATGCAGCTTTCCATATTCCAACAGCAAGTGCAATGGCACTTACATTAATTACATTATTTATACATAGGAAATTTCCTCTGGCTTCTATCACTCAATCTTATCAAAATCTGTTCCTATAAAATTAATTGCTTTGAAAATCAAAACTATAAGTTATTAAATTAAATATATTTACAGGTAAATTCATGTGGAAAATGTGCTGTAAATTGTTTCTCAGGTAAAAGAAGAAATCTAAATTCAGAATTATTCAGCAAATATAAGGTGAACTTCAAAATATTCTTCATTACAGCCAATTAAAAATGAATTAATCTAATTAAATGTTCTGTGTATATTTGCTTGGGAATAAGTCCCACTAAACCAATCAGAATCTTTTAAAAATAATGATTAAACTGAAAGTGACTTTTTCCCCTCTCCCTCCTTCTTTTCCTCTTTTGGTTTTGCTATTAGACTACTAATCAGGTTATAATAAAATTAGAAATTATTTTCTCCATCTTAATTCTGCAGCTGATTTCTGCCTTTATCTTCAAGCCAAGAGATCAAATTATCTGGCATAAGATTGTCTGATATACTCACAAAAGAGTGACATGGAATAGAACAGAATGGAATACTTTATTGGCCAAGTGTGATTGGACACACAAGGAATTTGTCTTGGTGTAAATACTCTCAGTATGCATAAAGAAAAGGTACATTCCTTAAGAATCAAGAATCATAACGTACAACACTTAATGATATTCACAGGGTACAATCAACAATCAAATCATACTAGGAAACAGTCAAGTGGGAGGGGATGGGTGATAAGGAGTGGTGAGAAGATTAACAGTAATAGTAGTGTACATTTTGTAAATAGTTGAATAGTATTGAGGGAATTATTTGTTTAGCAGAGTGATGGCTTTCAGGAAAAAACTGTTCTTGTGTCTAGTTGATCTGGTGTGCAGTGCTCTATAGCGTCGTTTTGAGGGAAGGAGTTGAAACAGTTTATGTCCAGGATGTGAGGGGTCTGTAAATATTTTCACAGCCCTCTTTTTGACTCGTGCAGTATACAGGTCCTCAATTGAAGGCAGGTGGGTAGTAATTGTTTTTTCTGCAGTCCTAATTATCCTCTGAAGTCTATGTCTATCATGTTGGATTGCAGAACCAAACCAGATGTACATGCAGCCAGGAAAATATATCTCTTGGCATATGCAAAAGAAGGCAATCTTTTGTCAGTGATCCAACTGAATTTGCATGCTGTATCCAGCTACCAAAGCCTACAACATTTACTCATACACATTCTGAATCATTTTAAGACTTCATGACAATATTTGTGCTATCCCTCTTCTTATAATGTGGGAAACTTCATCTACTGAATATAACCAGTATTCTAAGTTTGAGAAGTTTAAGATGGCCAAGTGTAGTGAAGTGTTAAAAAGGCTTGGAATTCAAAAACTTAAAGCAGCAGTAAAATATTAGTCAATGTCTATGAGAAATGAGTCTGTCCCTTCATTCAGGGTGTATGTGTTTAATGGTAAGCTGGGATGCATATAAGCTAGTCCAAGCATGAAGGGCAGTAGGACACCCATATGGGAAGCCAAGTTTGTCCCTCAGTTATCAAGATAAGAAACCTGTCATTTCTCTCATTCACTCTGTCAGCCTTGAGATACTCTGAGCAGACTTACCTCTGTGTTGTACACCCCATATATCAGGAAGATGAAGAGACCCTGTAAAATAAAATGGAGGGAAAAAGCTGTTAACTCTAATCATTTCGGCAGTAGAAATACCTGAAATAAACTTTCCTGGGAACAGACAAAAGAAGACACACTTCATCAAGGTCAATTTATTTTTCTATTTTTCAACATTATAAAGTGTACCTTGAACATTTATTTGATAACATGGGAGTGAATTGTATACTGTAGTTGTGCTGTTGAACAACTTGGTATAAAAGAGATCAAAGATCTAAAATATTAATTAGAGAAATTCATACAATATCTAAATAATCAATGCATGCATCATAAAATGAATGCTATTTAATGATTAACAACAAACTTAACAACATTTTGCAATATATATAATTAAATTCTGCTTGAAAAACACTCAGTATTTACTACTGCCTAAAATATTTCAGTAGTTTTAAAAGTAAACATTGAGATCAATTTGGCTCTATTTGTACTTCAACAAATCTTAGTCAGGCTTTAAGACTAATAAATTTATAACCAAAGTATCATTCACAAAAAAAAAATTACAATACAATATACTTTAATCAAGAGAACTTACTCTTTTAGACTAAAGAAACATATATTTACAAGTACAAAAGAACTGAGATGAATTTATCATGAATTTGTTTAAATATTTGCTGAAATTTCTGCACTTTCAAAATTAAATCCTCAAACTGCAAAACAATGCTAAATTCACCTCTATTTTAAGGAAAACATGATATAAATAACATACACTTTTTATAGCAAGAATCACTTCCAGTTTTCCATACAACTGTCTGGAAAATATGTGAAAATTGACTTAATGTCATGAATTCAAGGCCCTGTCACAAGTTGCATGACTATCTTCCATGTTGCTTTTTAAAAATTATTTTCTGCAAATGTAACATTATAGTGTTCATGATAAAGAAGGAATAGTTAGTAAAATGTATTCAAAAATCTGCATATAGTTTTATAGGTATGAAAATTACTTCAACATCAAGAAGCAGTATTCTGTACGATTCTACAAATGTGATCTGCTTCAACTACTCTACAAGACAGGAATTTTAGTCTTGTAGGAATAATTGCAGTTTGTGTGAGAAAAGTAGTGAATTCTGACAATTTCACAAAAGTAGATCAAGGAATGTCTATGAAGATTCTCAATCATCCAGGTCATGGTTGTCCCAAAAGTGTTTTTTTCTAAAAGTAAACTGGACTTTCTTGTTCTTTGTTTCTTTTTTCATTTCTCATCCAAAATGCTTCTTCAGTTCTGACTGATGGGGAAATTCCCAACCAAGAATTTATGCTAGTTCAGGATGATGGCTGTTATAAAGGCTAACCTAAATAGGACAAAAGTTCCTTTATGTTTATAAATTATACCAAAGGATTACTTATACTTGATGCAGCCTTTCAGACACAGTATTGCAGACACTCACTTATAAAATCCACGTTAAAGAGGACATTGTCTGTGTCACTGATTCATGTTATCTACCTTGGGAG